AAGCCTATGAGAGTTCTTTACCTTTTCCTCCTCCCTCCTCTAGTATCAAACATACCTGTTCTTGTTCTGGGTAATCTAGTTCTTCAAGAACCTGGTAGATGATTATAGTTAATTAAACAGGATTGTAGAATGATATTAATGACTTATAATGACTAAATGTGATACACTCCCAGCCTCACATAGTAGTTTTAGCAAGAGTCTTTGATGCCTCAACTCAAGAATATGACTCATGGTGGAAATTTAGGGAATGGTGAAGTGCTGGTGAGGAGTATGGTGATGGTGGCAGTGTGGTCAGAATTTTGACAGAGAATTTATTCCAGTCCTTAGGAGTTTCTGCAAAGGAAGTCACCTGTTCATCTATTGAGCAATGACTTGCTTAATGTATACATATTTATAGAGAGTTTCTCAGAATTCTCTCTTTCTCTGTATACGTTTATGTGTGTGTGTATGCAAAACACCTGTGAGAAAACTTAGCTTTAACTCTTTTACTCTAGTGCTTACAAGTCTTTAAAAGATACTATTGTTAATTTGCATTAAAATAGAAAAATTCATTTATTCTCACTTCAATTCTAAGGCTAATTCTCTATCTCTATGGAAAAATAGGTCTTTACTTAAGTGGAAAAGACTTGGTCATTCTGCCAATACCTAGCAGTATAATCTAGGCATGTCTTTTTATGTCTCAGATCCTCAGTTTACTTATCTGCAAAAAAAGGATCAGTAGTACCTATCATAGAAGATTGTTTTGAAAATTGTCAACATGGTTAATGTTATTACACTATCTGCATGTTAATAGGCTCCTGATGGCATAATTGATGATAGAACTGCCATGTGAGAATTGCAATTCGGAAAAGAAGAATTTGGAAATTTTGACACATTGAATTCTTTTTACTATTGGCTAGAAATAGTTATATTAAAGATGCTTAAAACCATAAGGCTAAGATTTGTTAAACACACTTGGTTGATGACCTCTAAAAGGCCTTTTTACTTAGTTCAAAGGTTTGAAGGAATAGTTTTTTTAGGGAATTTCATTTCTAGTATTGTGTTCATTGGGATATTACGAGTTTTTTTTCTAGTACCTCCCTGTCAAAAGAACTGACTTGTTAACAAATTTCCGGGGCAGCTGTGAAGGCGAAAGCTGTCAGTAACTTCCCATTAAGTTCCAAGCTTCAGTCTAGCATGGAGAATGTGCTAGTCCCTGTGATGGATGATCCTTCCCAAATGCTGCATTTGAAATGGCTTTCTATTGTGAATGGTTAATCTTATTGAGTTCAAATTGAGAGTTTCTCAGAATTCACATATCATTTCAGTTTTGAAAGCTTATCCAGCTATAGCTAGGATATTTAGGACTCGATTTTTAAAATCATACTTTTCATACTATTATGGAAAGAGGTGTTTGTATAAGACAGTATTTTCTCATTTTGCAGAAAATTAAATTATTAATGTGATTTTAGGTAAGGGCTCTCTACTAGATCAGTGGATCAGTTTTGAGGACAGAATTATTTCATTGTAAACACTTGAAATAATGCCCCCAATAAGTGGGAATTTAATGTTCTACTTTCCTTGATTATTGTAGGTGCGGGCATCCTTAATTGTTTTGATAACTGGCATTAAAACAATCTCTGCAAAGAGTTTGGCTTTTTAAGGAGGTGGTCCTCATTTGAAAATTGCATCAGTGGGATATTCCTCACATACGATTGTGGAGTTTTTCTGTCATTTCTACGGTTTAAAGAGTGAAACTTTTCATATACTGGATGGATTGCTGTGATTTAGTTCTGTTCACTAGGCAGTCGAGTTACAATCTTTTTGTTTGAGTGAAATGAGGTTATCACTCAGGTCCTTTGTAACTTAATTGGTAGAAGAGCTAGGTGCAGCTTTGATAGTATGCCCTTCATAGGCAAATTCTTAATAACCACCTAGAGGTCAGCTATGTCCCTATAGCATACAGTGGAATTCAAGATTTTCTGGATAATATTTGCTGAGATGGGTAGGTGAAATGATAGGACTTATTCGAGATGATCCCACAACTCTTAAGATTTAATAATGGGTAGAAATACACGTTGGTTAAAGACTGGGACTTTGAACTCAACAGGCTTTGGTGCAACCTGGCCTCCATCACTCAGTCACTGAGTGTCTTTGGGCAAATGGCTTACCGCTCTCCACCATCCTTGTTTTCATGTCTACAAAATAGAAATAACAGTTCCCACCTCTGAATGTTTTTAGAATTTAATACATTCACATAAATTGCCTAGTAGACTCCTAAATGATATTGTCATGTGATAAACTGAAGTTTCTTTATGTACATATTTTCTTAGGTAAACTTTTTCCCTCATTTAATAATTCTCTTCCTTTTCCCCACTATTACGGACTGCCAGAAAGAATGCTATTTGGGGTATAATAGAAAATCTTTCTCAGATTTTCCTCCCACAGAGAACAAAGAATATAGCAAAAGGACCTCTATTCTTGGGCCATCATTATCCTCGGTGCCTGACTGACGTGGAGCAAATGCATGGCCATATTTGAATGCCCCGCTATTTCCTACAGCAGCAGTCAAGGTCAGAATGATACTATTGGCCATCAAAAAGTATAATCTGTTGGATCTTGAAAGGCTTTAGCTAGAAATTCTTCCCCTTCTCATATGCACCATCCTAAAGGCCAGTCTCAAAGCTTTTTAGTTTCTCTTTAGACTTTTATTTTTGGTCCTGCATGCTGTAAGTGTGCCTTGCCTTGAACTATTTGAGGTTCATTGTTTACTTTCTTCTTCTTTGGAGTGTATTTCAAGCATGTTATTCTTAGTGGTCTTTTGTTAAAGCTCTCAGAGGCCTTCACACTCTAAAACAACAATGAATTAAAAGTTAATGTGTTATTATTTTTTACTCGCTATAATTCCATCTTAGTATTTGAAATGGCTTCACCCAGGAGTGCAGAGCTTTCAAATACCTGACGCTCAACCTGCCATAACACTTCAAATGTCTCTCAGAATTGACAAAGATCCCTAAATGAACCAGCAGAATGATTTTCCCAGTGTTAGAGTCTGAACCCTAAAGCTTTTAACCCCTGAAAAGTTGTACAGGAAGTCAAGGGAAAAATGGTAAATGTTGAACTTTCCTGGCACAATAATGTCATTTGACAATTGATAATTTCTCCTATATTACTTGCATACCTCCCACATTGTATTTTTGGTAAACTTTAACTTCTTTATCTTTCTTTCTTAAGAAAAAAATAAATATTCCTTCTTTAAAATATATCTCCAGCAACATGTGATACCAAAGAATGACCAATTTTTAAAAATTTGTAAAAAACAATGATTATTATGTATATGTATATGTATACGTATATGTATTATGTATATGTAATATATATATGCCAAATAATTTGTGTTGAAGAGACATCTAAATTCAGTATGATATATGAGGTGTAATCAGAGCATAGAAAGTATAGCTCAATTCTAAATCCTTTATTTATATATATATTTTTTATTTAGAAGTTAAATTAATTCCTTAATAATGCTACTTCTTGATTCATTTTTTTGGACGGTGGCTACTAATTACTGATCAGTTACGTTTCCTACTCAGTTTTCAAAACCTGGGCTCAAAATTCTGTTGATGGACTTATCCTGTGTTGTTACAGGTTGACAAAAGGGACAGGGAGACCCAAAAGTGTCCATTTACCAAAGCGTTCCTGGCAAGGCAGGAACTGTGTACATGGGAATGCACAGAGAGCATGCCTTTTGCATATCAGTTGTACTGATGATATCTCAATTTCATTCTTAGGACTGTCAGATTGAAACTTAGATCTTGAGTACCAGAAGGAGTTTCAAAGATACATTTGTGAAATACTCAGAAATATTAGATGCAGGACATCTCTGAGGTCAGTGCAGTGCATTTTGCTAAAGAATCTGCATCCACAACATTGACTACTTCATGACAAAAACAGCGTAGATTATGTATAAGTCAATTTCATCTCATAGCATTTTACATTATAGAAAATTATTGCAACATGGAATATTATAGCATGGTTACGTTATGGGGCTTTCAATTCTAATGGAAGATGGTTCAGATATTATGGAGAAGTAATTTTATGTACTACAAAGGAGCTTAAGGTTTTTCTTAATGTTAAAGAAACTCAGAAAAAGGTGGGAAGAGAATTTGTTGTGATTAAGAATTCGTTGTGATTGTGGCCCAGGTTGAGGAATTGGAATTAAATTGTAACTGATTATAATTGTAACTAATTGTAACTGATCTATTTGTGATGAGTACAAGGCAACTGTGATTAATTGCTTACTCTCTTCTATAACTGACTGCCTTCCTCTTTCCTCTCCACTTCATTTCCAGATCTAGACCAAAATGTTCTAATGAATCTTCTTCTTACATTATATAACCATTAGCATATAACCCATCTTGTAATGGAGTTTTATAAAGGTCTATAAATTGCAAATGTCGGTATTGGAATATTAACAATTTATTCACCTAAGTAGTTACCTTCAATGCATCCCCCTCCTAGTTTTCTTTATCTGTGTGTTCAGGTCTTTCTTGATGAGGAAATTTAAGAGGTGTTTTTGCTTAAATTTAAATGAACCGAATACTGTTGTAGGCAGAGTCAGACCAGAGACCAAGAATCTTAACAAAGAAATTTGCACATACTGTCTAGTTTTGTTTAGGTTGTTTTAGAGAGCAAAGAAAGGAAACAGCGATATTTGGAAACTGATCACTAAATAATAGTTTTATGCAATCTCACGAAGAAATGGAAAACAATTGTATACTCCAAATAATTGTTTAAATAAGATTGTTAGGGGATCCCTGGGTGGCGCAGCGGTTTGGCGCCTGCCTTTGGCCCAGGGCGCGATCCTGGAGACCCGGGATCGAATCCCATATCGGGCTCCCGGTGCATGAAGCCTGCTTCTCTCTCTGCCTCTCTCTCTCTGTGACTATCATAAATAAAATAAATTTAAAAAAAATTTAAATAAGATTGTTAGTAAACCAGTTATTTTTTTTTTTCTTCAGTGGTTGTATATTGCACTCCACTTTACAAATGAAATAAAACACTGGGAGAAGACATACATAAGAGAAAAAGCATTGCTCTCAGCTTTTACGCCACTTCCGAGTTTATTTGGGACTCTGTCCTCTACCCAGACATCGGTCATTTGAGATCCGTGCCAGGTAAGTAAATTAATTGAGTATAAATGTGTAAAGCCTTTCTATCACCTCTTGAAAATAATGAAACTCTAGAAGACAATAGAACTTGCAGCAGTAACAGCGAAATGGCTTACTAAAGTGAATTAGAAGGTTGCACCAGATTTCATCTAGCTCTTTAACATATGTTTATCTATCCAGCTATCTATTTATCTATCTAATGTGTGTGTTTACACACAATGCATAAATGTTATGCAAAATGTATATAGAAGCAGATGCCTCACAAAGATTAAATGTTATTTTTTATATGTCTCTAAAGTCTGTGTCTCATATTAATACAATGGATTGTCAGATTTTTCCATTGTTCCACTTCAAAGCATGCAATTATATTGCCTTAATTGGAAGCACTGATGTGTTTTCACCAAGGATGTTTATTTGTATTCTGACTACTGAGATATAAATATGGGACCATTTGCTATTTTTAGTTTTCCGCTAACATTTTTTTAACTTTTTATCTTTATGAACAGACACGTCGAGTTTATTGTCAGTTCAAAATTCTGAATTTGTAGTGGATTCACATAAAAATCTTACCAGTTGTCGTACTGAAATGAATCTTTTTTCAAGGGTCGTGATAATACATAGCAGAAAGCATAACAGACAAATCCAGGGACTTGCTGACTTATGTATTACCATAAATCCAACTGGCATGGATTTTATCCAGGAAGCTTTGGTGTCCATTTGACCAGAATATCTGTAAATATTTTGTTATCTCTGATCAGTTTGGTCAGCATGGATTTAAAACCCTTTTTGATAGGCACATGTTGGTGGTGAAAATGTACAGTTTCCTCCAAAACTTTTTGAGGATATAATCTCTGCAGGGATTTCAGTGGAACAAAATTTTCATCTTGTCAGGTAATAAAAGTATTAAATTATACTAATTATCACTAAATAGAAATTAGAGACTTTTCTTTAATCCTGTGTATGACAGCAGGGCCCTGTTGATCAGTGCAGCATAGATTCTGTGTTTCCCCACATCTGGCTTCAGTGAGATGAATTAACCAGTTAACTTGAAATTGTCTTTGCTATTGACTGAACCAGCAAATCTGGAAATGCTATTTTTAGTGCTGATTGTGTTCCAGGTACCATTTCAGGTACTTTGTATGTATAAACCTATTTAATCTTCAAAATGTGCACAATGCACATTTGTTTGCTTCCCTAATTTTATAGTTGAGGTAACCAAAACGAAAGGAGGTGAAGGTACCATGTTTCTTATAATATTGAGCCTCTTGTTCTCTGACTAATGAAAATATTACCACAGATAATTATTATATATTTATGACTTAGTAAGAGACCCTCACAATATCATTATTTCCTTTATTCTTTCACAATATCTTTCCTCAAAGCTAAGAAAAGAATCCATGCCTACCAGTACTTCATCTAAGTGGGAATGGAGCCAAAAGAGCTTCTTAAAAACAGAGGCAGTTGTCCCTGAAACTAATAATACGTTATACGTTACATAAATTGAATTTAAAATAAAACAAAACAGAGGCAGTTGTGAAATGACAATAATTTGTTCATTCATTCATTCAACAAATACCATATTTATTTTATATCTGCTATCCACCAGGTACTTTTCTAGATGTATACAAAGATCTTCAAGTAGACTATATTATTTTATACAATCAAATAAATAAAGTCATTACAATTGTGATGAGTTAGGGAAAAAAAGAGTAGATGCTGGAATAAAAATAATACAAAAGACTTCCTTTAGGTAAGGATAGTCAGTAAAAGCTTCTCTGAAGGAATGATATTTCAAATGAGACCTGAGGACAAAGAGTAGTCACACTACAAGAGCTATAGACAAGGAATAGCCAAGAGAAAGGTCTCCACAAGAATCTGGAGAAAGTGAGAACTCAGAATGTTCCAACTTAAGGAAAGCCAGTGTGGTGGAACACAGAAATGAGCAAAGGAGATACATCTGAGATGAGGCTCAGACGGTGAAGTGGCCATATCTTGCCACAGAAGCAGAGGCAGCTTGAATCAGCACTCTCTCAATACCTGGTGGGTTCATCAGCACAACACAACCCCACTGGCATTGACTTTGTTCTAGGATCTTGGCAGTGGCAGGAAAATGATTTACCAGCTATGTCTTCTGTGGTAGTCCCAGTTCTGGATAATATATATATATATATATATATATATATATATATATATATATATTCTCATTTGATACTTACAATCCTGTAAATAAAATGTACCTAAAAAATAAAATAAAAAAATAAAATGTACCTATATTTATTTAGGTAAACAAGCAGAGAAACAAAAAGCCTCCAGTGTAATAAAGTATCTTACTCAAGGTTACACGGCCATGAGAGAGTAATGGAGTCAGTCCCAACTTTGAAGTCCTTCCAACTATGCCAGGCTTCTTCCCTGTGAGTCACAAGGCTGAATGGAGAGGATGAAATTGAATGATCCCCACAGAAGTGTCTGATAGAGAGGAGCCAGAAAGTTCCAAGAGGATGTGTTGGTTCCCTAGCAGAGATTTGTTGGACATGGGAGAAGGGAGTCCTGTCTTAGACATTTGTGGAAAAGAGATGCTGAGACTTAGAAAGCAGGAGTCAGAACTTCTTTGGGCCAGAATGGAGGCTTGGAAAGGACAGTCACTTTGTTTATTTCTGTGGGGCATATGTCCCTGCATACTGTTAGCAAGAATGGGGAGGAGTGGCTGGTAAATATGGGGTATTATCAGTGCAACTTCAATCAAACTAGTCTAGGTCTCATCCTGAATTTCATCTGTACTTCTGACCACCCAAAGCTGTGACATACGTGAATATAGCACAGGCTCAGAGAATGTTGTAAAAATGTGACATTGGTCTATGTGTAATGACATTCCTAATAGACCTAAGGAAGTAAGTGGGGATTTCTTCTTGGTTTGGGACTAAAACGATGGAACCTTTGTAGTTCCCCCTTGGTATTAATGCAATCTCCCCTTTTGTATTCAAGTTACATATGCATTATTACTTTTTGAAAAGTAGGACCACTGCTTTCTCTCTCCAGAAATCTGAGTACTGATATCATGTTGTATTTAGTTGTTTCATGGGAAAAGATGGATTACAAGACTGAATTCAAATGGTGGCCAATTGCCATTTTTTAAATCACCAGGATCCCAAATATTAATTTCACATGTGCACATCTTAAACCATAATTAGGTTGAACAGCAATCTGGTGGGAGATTCCATCTTGCAGTGCATGGACCTCATTTTCTGACTTCTCAGGGACACTATATTTTTCTTTTCCTGTTGAACATTCTTTATTTAATAGACTTTTTGAAGATTATATTTTTCTGGAAAGTTCTTTTAATTCAGGTGTTTTTTTTTTTGTGGAAATAGATTACCCACTTTTTGGGCCTCTAATAGGATGAAAAAGCTGTGTAGGGAAGTGGAGTAAGAGGTGCAGGGAGCCTTTTTAAAACAAAAATAAAAACAAGAGCAAAAAACAGCGAAGTTCCTGGCTGGGAAAATACTGTGTGGATTTATTTTATTGATTCTTGTTAACTGATTGAGTCTAATAGAAGAAACGAGAGAACCAGAAAGAGAGAAAATTGTGCGTCATAGTGGTATACTTCCGTTGTTCTTTTTTTTAAGATTTTATTTTTATTTATTTATGAGAGAGAGAGAGAGAGAGAGAGAGAGGCAGAGACACAGGCAGAGGGAAAAGCAGGCTTCCTGGAAGGAGCCCGATGTGGGACTCGATCCCAGATCCTAGCATCACGCCCTGAGCGGAAGGCAGACGCTCAACAGCTGAGCCAGGGACCCAGGCGTCCCTCGTTGTTTCTTTTTCAAACACGTTTTTGTGTAGCTGTGAATTGAAAAAGTTCTTCGGGCAACTACAGTTTCCTGGGACATTGGTAAAAGATGACATCAGTCTTAGGGAGACCATCAGGTGAAGAGGGTTTAGGATTTGGGGAGAACATGTCATCAGAACCTTCCAGTAGCCCAGCACTGACATAAACTAGAGTAGTAATTCCCAAACAAGGACCACACCTAATGACATGGTAATCTGAGAGATTTCTAAGTACAAAGTCCTAAAATCAGATTCAGTAGGAATGGGGGCTGGGGACATAGAAATCCCAAGCAATTTCTAAAGCTTCCTTGCAAATTGTGAAGCAAAGAAGGTTTATGAATTACTGAGTAGAGGACTAAACTGTCAACCTGTCATTAGAGGATCTTCTCTTTTTGTCACTCAGGTCTCTCCAATAGGAGAAGACAAGGGCCATGAGCCACCTTATAGATGCGAGCACTAAAGAGGGCTAATTCCTTTTTCTACAAGTGTCTTTTTTGTGGGTTGCTCTTTCTCTTCTCATTCATTGTCCTTCTTTTTGTTGTCCTGACTCCATCCTGGTTATTTTTGGAGAAGGTAAAAGGGATTTTGTTCTATGGGAGATTATAGAAATACTGTGAAATTTGGGTAGAAAATGTACTGTGTAGACCAATATGAGACTTTAAAAAAAATCAAAATGTATTCTTGTGAGATGATTCACTTACTCTCTTATTGAATTTATCCCACAGAAGCCTAGTTTGCTCATAGCCGTTTTCTTGAGCCCGGATGGATAGGATGAACCTGTCCCTTGTGTCCAGTTGAGGGATAGTATACCACTAGCCAACTCCTGTCACTCTGCTTCTCTTTACTTGAAACCCAACATTAATGGACCTTCCAATCCTAAATACTAATATCTACTCTTTTCATGGAGTCACTGGCACTGAGACTGATCGTTTTATTACCAGTCTAATACCTTTACTCTCCATACCATCTCCTGCTGTGGATCTCAGCATTTCTGCCATTGCTAGTCCACTTGACAATACGCTCATTATTAAATTCCTTCTGAGACTCTACTCTTTTCTGTTTAGTCCCATGGTTATGGCCACATTCTGGACTTTATTACTTCACTGATCTGGACCTTTTGCCATCTCTGGATATAGCCTATTCACAGAGTGTTTCCTTTTATTTTGGAAAAACTACTG